TTTTTTTTATTTTCAATTACAACACAGTAGTCTACAAGTAATTCTGCTGAAACCATAAACAAAATTACAAAAGTATCAGGCACAATTGCTAAACTTCCTATCACTACTTAGAGTTTTATGTATATCCTCCATACTACAAGGATCATCAAATAAATTCCTAATTTTTTGTTTCTTTTAAAACACAATTCTAGTGAGAACACTGCTATTGAGATTGTATTTAATCCATGAATGATGGATCTTCACATTAAGCCCTCAAGTGTTTATATGTAAAATTCTTTTGTTTTTCTATGGATTCAACCTCTTAATTTGCATTTCAGCTCTACCAATGGTTTACTATACAGATAAATTAATTGGTCAAGAAAATTAAATTGATTAATTGAATAATATCATTCTTTGCAGAACTCTATTGTCAGCGACGTTGAATGTACTTGATATGACAGGAACTATGTTCACATATAGTTCACAGAGTCCTGGCACCCAGACTGGTCTCAATACAGACGATACCTATCTGTACCTTGGTACGTTCACATACAAAATCAGTGTCTATCTCAAGCATCTAAATCAGACATTTCTGCAATTCCTCCATGCAAATATAGTTTGTACGCAGAACCTTGTGGAATTCTTGTTTGTCATTTTGTTTTCAAAAATATTGTTCCAGAACCAAATCTGTTACATGCCTAGGCTGATTGCAATATAAAATGTGTGTAGACATAACACCAAATGTACATTATGTCATCTGAGTGTACATGCATTCGTTTCAGTGTCCAATGCAAGATGATATTGTTCAAACTTTACTTACGAAGAAGATTTGAAATTTTCTATCTGCCAGATTCCGTAAATTGGCAGATGCATTGACATTCTGTAATAAATACATATCATGACACACATACTCCTATATATTATAACAATGAAAATAAACTTCATCATGATACTAGAAATTCATTTTTTTTCTCGTTATCATCGATAGGTGGCTACAAAGGTGACATTTCTCAGCTGAGTGCAGGCCGATATACGACTGGATTCATAGGATGTTACTCTCAATTCCTGACTTCTCAGAGCTCCACTGGAATATCATCACAGATTGATTTTCAACGTCAGGCTGTTGGTGGCGCTAGTATCATCAACTGTCCGTTATAGATGAGAGTTGTAACATCTACCCTGATTGAATATTAATCAGCAGCATAGTGGATTTGGACGAATTTTGACTAATCAGGGAATTTTATACTGGGCAGTTAAACAGTGCATTATGAATTTGTA